GGCGGCCGAGCCCGGCGGGGCGGGGAGCAGCCGCTTGCGCTCTTGGCCTTGTGCGTGGGTCTTAAAACCAGGCGGTCTGGGTGCCTCTGCAGTCGGCCTGTTGACTGGGGGCAGAAATAGCCTGCTCCAAAGTAAAGCCAGAATGGATCGCTTACCTGACAGCAGTCCTGCGGGCAATGGTCGGCCCTCCGAGGCGGGGTGCCCCAAGTGCAGCGAGCCCCGGAGCTGGCTGCCTGGCGTGGTGGGTGCCCTGCGTCGAGTCAGGTGGGTCCTCCTTCAAAGCTCGCTAGAAATGATAGTCAGCCCTCGGAGTCGGCGTGCCCCACGCGCGGTGAGCCCCGGAGCTGGCAGCCTGGCGTGGTGGGTGCCCTGCGTCGAGTCAGGTGGGTCCTCCTTTGAAAACGGCTCGCCAGAAATGACACTGTGCGTCAACCAATTGTCTGTCGCCGGGGGAGAACACGTGCGTTTCCCGCTTGGCTCTTCCCAGGGCTGGCGCAACATCTGAGTGGGGAGGAAGGGGGAGATGGCACGAAGCTTCCACGGCCAAGGCAGATTGTAGGAGCCAGGTCAAGCCCTTCTGGGAGTCTCTTGTCCGACCTGTTTTAAGGAATGGAGGTGCTTCCTCCTTACCCTGGTGTGCGAGGCGGTGGTGGTGTGACACATGGGAGTGGCTATCAGCAAAAGACTGTCTTGGGAATACCCCGTCCTCTTCTGTCTGCTGGCATGAAGCTAGGTATTTGCATCAGTTATCACAGAGAAACAAGAGCCACGTTCTCATCTGGGCCTTCACTTGTGACAACAAATGAAAGGGCCTGTAACTGCAGATAGTTGTTGTTTTTGGTTTATTGCTATCCTTAGTTGGAGCTACTGTGTGAGGTAAGAAAGAAGCATCGTGCTCCCCTTAAGTGCTGACTTAAGTACAGTGCTGGATTCTTGTCGTCTTGAATTTCCTACTTCTTGAGCTTTCTGTGCTAAGGGATTTTTTTTTTTTAATAGTTACTGTAGTTAGAAAAGGAGATCTTGTAAGTAGCTATTAAGCTTTTTCTTTCATTTTCACAAGTGCAGCTGTGCAAGTAATATACGTTTGTCTACCTTCAGAATTACTTGCCTGTAGCATTGTTTTCAGAATAATTTTCACTGCTGCTTTGCCAGTGTGAAGAATACAGTGTTATATTCCATGTCATCTTGCAGCTCTTCATTATTGTCCATTGAAAAGTCCTGAAGATGCTGTTTTTATGTAGCTCTTGGAGCAGCAGTAGCACTGTAAGAACAGGTCTCTGTTTCACAGAGTTTGTTTGGAATATGTGTTTATTTGGCCAAAAATGGTTGATGGGAGAGGGTAGTTTATATGCCCTCTTTAAAATGCCACTGAAGGTTTGGGGCTTTTCTGATTCAAACCTGTTAAGGTTGAAATAATTTCAGCAGAGGATGTTTTACAGTATTTCTAATTGTGGGAATGAAAAACATGAATGCTTCTTTCTGTTTGTAGAAAAATGTTGCAAGCCTTATAAAAATGGAAAAGGTGGCTGCGGTTTCTAGAATTTGTCCTTCATGCTTGTATTTCTGTTAGTAACTCTGCCTGTTTGTGTTGATTTTCATGTGCTTCAAACTTTGTAAGTACAATAGCAGTGCCCTGCTGTGGTGCCTCTTCTCTGGATTAGAAGAAAGAGCTCTACACAAGGTTTATGTGACAGCCTGCTCCTTTTAAACTCCCACCCAAAGCTTACCTAATGTCATGTAGGCACGTATATTAGTAAATGAATCTCTTCCTAAAACTACTAACTTCTTTCCTTTATAAAGGTCAGAGGATGCTGAGTCAGATGCAAACCTCTCTACCTTTGTCCAGGTGAATCACACCTAAGCACAAGCTGTAAATTCTAACTAAAGTTAATTGCAACTAGCATCATGGATGCCTCTACTGTAAATAATACTTGCTTTAATAAGTGGATGTTACCGGTAAATAATTTGTAAATAGTACAGTGGACAAATAGTGCAATGGACAAACACTGTTGAAGGATGAGATGTTTCACCTGAGAAACTTGCTATGAAGGCTTCCACTTTCATATCTTAATTTTCTTAAGCATCTGCTAATTGAAAAAGTTTGAACACTATTGCTTTATGGTCTGACTTGAAGTTGGGCTGCACAGATGTGGTGCATTTGTGCAGGAGAGTAATCTCTGTCGAACCAGAATAAGGACAGAGAAGAGCAGGATCCAGGGCTTGCATCCAGGAGTACTTTCACTGTTTTAATGGACTTGGGAACTCCTTGATTGCTCTGAGATCTCGTGCACAAGGTTTCTTCAGCTGACCTACCTGTTGCAGTTAGGCCTGATTGGGTGAAAAGCGGTGGGCTCACAGTGAATATGCTATTGCTGTGTTAGGGTTGAACTTGCAGAAAGGTGTATGTACCTAACTCTTACTGTGTGGTTAAGGCTTTTGCTATGGTTATGATGTAAAGAAACATACTAGGTAAAATAGCCTTTTTGTCATGGGATGTGGCCTGTGCTGCTGAAACATAATCGCGTTGTGTACATAAAACTGTATTTTGCTAATATTTAACATATTCTTTCCAGATATAATAAAGGAGCAAAATCGGGAGTTAAGAGGTACACAGAGGGCTATAACCAGAGATAGAGCAGCACTTGAAAAACAGGAAAAACAACTGGTAAGTAGAGCAGGGAACTTCATTTCACTCTTTAAAAACACAACCCCCCAATATAACAGGAAACCTTGCAAAGTGCTAAAGATACAACTCAATGCATAATAATTGAACACTTTTGCCTTCCCCTTTTGACTTTTCAGTTATTTAAATTGTGTCAGAAAAAATTTACTATCTAAAAGTGATTTTTCACTCTTTAACATAGGAAAAGCCTGAAACAATGTGTTTAGATTAAATAACCACATTCATTTTTCCTTTCCATTCTTAGCATTCTCTATATTTCAGAAGATTCTTTTCTAACAGGCCTGTAAAGCAGTGGTCTTTTAGTGGAAAAAACTAGAAGCGTCAGCGCTATCGTATGTTACCATGACTCTGCAGTGGGAGAGAGTACTCGAAAAACCATAGGGTGTCATGAATACCCCATAGGGTTGTTATTTTCAGTCATATAGAACTTCCCTAAAGCTAGCTAATAATAGTAAAACTATCTGCCTAAATTAAGATTTATTTAAGACTTAATGTGTGTGACCTATCAAGTATTCAGTGAATGGATGCTGCACCTGTGTGGCGGTATAATTGGATAAACGGATGTGACAGATGGTGAGGTTTGATGCATGAAGACATGTTCAGACTGTCAGAAAAGCTATGCAAATCCAGCCGCTGTTTCAGTAGCTGCTGAGGTGTTGTTTCATGGTAGCAGGTCGCATGAATACCAAGAGCTGGGAATAACCACCTAAAAGAGGTCAGAGAAGTTGTTTCTGGAAGCCTTGAACATGTAAGATATAATAGGTTACTCATAGATATGGCATTTTTTTCAGTATGGAATATTCGGACTCTGGAAATAACCTTAGTTTTCATGAATAATCAGGTTGAAGTTTTGATTACTTACTACAGTAAGTTGTTTCAGAAATGTTGGATTTCTGAGGAGAAGAAGAAAGGACAAGTGAAATATGTCTTTGAAAAAGTTAAAATTTGCTGCTAGGATGAGAGAATCAATGGACAATAAATACTAATTTTCAGAGTCAGATCAGGTGAAAAAGGACCAAGGGCTTTTCACTCAATCTAAGAACATTTTGTTATGTACTTTCTTCAAAAAGGCTTTTTCCTGAATTATGAGGTACTACTTTGAGAAAACCTAGTTATATCAATTATATGGATAAAAATACCTTAAACTATGCAGACAGTTCTGTTTCAGTTCAGTAACCTCATATGACTATATGAATTTTGATTATTGTTGTTCCAGAAGAACAGAACTGACTTGAATAAGCTTGCCCCAAACCTCTCAAAGGCAAATAATGTATTGCAGCTCTTTACTCCGATTTTTCTGAATGAAGAATAAAATCACCCTTATATAGGGTTTGATTTCTGCAGCTGGGTTTCTTGCAGTGATGTAACAATGGTTGGTGTAGGTTTGTATTTCACTTCGAAAATCAGGTTATAAATGCTACTTAGGTATTTCATCCCAGTGAGAAAATCCCTACTTCCAAATGTTTGCTCTTCAAACTAGGGTGGCAAACTAGTGTACAAACTAATCCCTCCTATCCTCCACAATACTTGAGGAATGAAAAAAGGAGATAATATTCTTGGTACACTACAGAAATTTGTTTCTGTGGTCTCTGTGAGCTGCTTACACAGAGGACAGCCTTAAATGTATTTCAGGACCCTAATACTATTTTGAACAGTCTCATGCTCCTTATTTGCTTATCTGTACCTTCTTGGATTAAAAATAGTATGTATGACACAGCCTTTCAGAAATTATGGATTTACAGAGAAGATCTTGTGCCAGTGCCATCTCTGTAGTAGACTTAACCGTGATCTTTCCTAGTAGTAAAGCTAGTGCAGTGGGTCAGCTTACATTTGCCTTTAAACATGACTGTTTTGTATACCCTGATGACCAGTATTTACCTTTTCAGAGCAACATATCTTCTTATAAGTGCAGTTTTCTGGACTACCAGTGCACATAAAGTGGAGCAACTGTATTCCTGTGGCAGGTGTAGTCTCCTGAAGGATCACAGGAGAAAGCTGGTCTTTCAAGGCTACTTTCACTTAATGGCAAAAATCGAAACGTACAATTGGACATATACAAAGAACTGAGCTGCTATGGCAGGCCCTCCTTTAAAAGGCTGAAAAGGAAAAAATTAGTTGAAAAGTTTACATTACCAAGTCAAAAATCAGAAGGTACAGTTTGAAAAATCCCAGCTCACAAGATTATTTGTGCCAAATGTTTTCGTGATACTTCTGGGCTAAATAGCTTGCTATTGCTCCTAAAAGTGATAGATTGGGGTTTTTTGTAAGCCAGAAATGTTGTCCTTAAAGTTTAAGCACATGTTGCTGTAGACAAGTTGTACTGCTTTTATTTTGTGCTAAGTTAAGTCCAGCTAAATTATGTGGGCAAACAGCCTATAATTATTGCTCATCTAACTTGATCTACTTCTTCCCCAAAAAGGCTGTGAGATTGTCTTGAGGCTGAAAAAGTATTAAAAAGAACGTATGAACTCCCCATTTCTTCCATGGGCGATGTGGCTTGATTGCTCGTGAATGCTGGAAATCAAAGATGATTAGTCGTGGCACAAATAGTTGGCTGGCTATAATAATTTCTTCACTTTTTGGGATGTTTTTTGAAGTGTTACTCCCTGCCCAGATATGGAATTGAATGTACACATGTAAGTGAATGTGACATTATGCAGAAGTTGAAGCCTTTTGGGGAACTGTGTGCTATCATACTATAATTCAGTTTCATTGTGCTTTTTTCTTCAGGTCAAATCATAACAGCATTGCATTTGTTCTACTAAATAGCCTTGGTAAAAAGTAAGGAAGACTTTATGTGACTTTAAACATTAAAAAAACAAAATCAAGAGGATAGTGAACTTTCGGTATTTTATAATTAAGTCTTACCACTAATAATTGTCTTTGTCTGAATGAAAATTCTGTAGAATTAATCTTACGCTTCTTTTAACAGGAACTGGAGATAAAGAAAATGGCTAAGACTGGGAACAAAGAAGCCTGTAAAGTGCTAGCAAAACAGCTTGTACAACTGCGGAAGCAGAAAAATCGAACATACGCTGTTAGCTCTAAAGTCACTTCTATGTCGACTCAAACAAAGGTCATGAACTCTCAGATGAAGATGGCAGGAGCTATGTCAACTACAGCGAAAGTAAGGTGTCACAAGACGTTCTTTTACATTAAAATGCAGCGTATGGTTGCGAAAGTTGTGTTATTTTGTATAATTGAAGGCATAAAACTTACTGTTTAATACTGCAAATGGCATTGAGGATACAGTAGGGAGATGTAATTTGATTAATATTATGAAATTTTTGTCTAATCAATCCAGCCAGTTAGCACCTAACTAAGCATACTTGCTTGGGCTAGACATCTGTCAGATGTTTGCATGATAAAAGTAAACTCTAATGCCAATGGAAGAACTCTTTTAGTACATCAAAAAAAAAACCCCACACCATGCTGCTACAGTGCCTTGCCTGCGTATCTTGTCATAAGCAGTTTTTACTGGGAAAAAGTAGGGCATGCTTCATCTTGAAATCAAGGCAGTGTGTCACAGTAGCTTTATGGCTTGTGCAAAAACTAGGTTATTGCTTTGGATCTTAAGTTCCTAAGGAAATATGATCTGGAGTTCCTTGTCATTCTTACTCTCTGTGCTCTAAGGAAACAGTATCACATTGTTTTCTCACAGGTCTCAGCTTATAAGAGTTTGAAAAATCTCGGTTATCCGAGTTAGTTGTTAACTTTCACCTGTTTCCCTGAATTGATAAGTACAGAGTTTGCTCTTGGCAAGCAGGATTGTTCAGCTTGAGGTGCTGGAAACAGAATTAGCGCACATCATTGTAGACAAGTTGTGCTTTTATCACAGTCCAAGTTAAATCAAGTTACGTGCCAGTTAAACACGATAATGCAATGGAGCTTAGTGCAGAAAGTAATTACTGCTGAGGCTTTGCTGTCAGGTGCCTTTTAGAAGCAGTTTGTTGGCAGATATCAGCTGTTCAGTGATACAAAGTTGTGGCTCTGTAGCAAACGTGCCATGCTCCATGACTAATCCATGAAGGGGGGGTTGTCTGGCTGTACAACCCATCGAGTTAAACAGCTGACTGGTATTCCTGCAACAGTGTTTCACGTGAACAAGTTGGTCTTGCTTTTTTATTTTTATATGGTTGACTTGTTTTTATCTATGAGATGTCTTGGATTAAATGTCTCAAAACCAAAGTGTCACTAGACTAATTATAAAGGTTAAGTCAGTAGAAAAAAACAAAAACAGTAAAAAAAATAAACTAACCAGCACCCAGAAAACTGATGTTTTTTGAAACATAGCAGGTAATCTGTGGACTGGTTTGTGTAACATTATTGGAGAGGAATGTATTCAATTCTTTTGGTCACTTTTAAAGTGAGTATTTTGCCTTATCAACATGGGAAACTTAAAAGTATTCAGTTGTTTATTTTGAAGCTTATGAAGTATTCTTAATATAATACAACCATCAATGAAAAATATATGGAATCAGTTGCCTCAACAAGCAAGACAAATATGTGAATGCGAAACTTTAAAAGTATTCTCTGTATACCTATTAGCATCTATGGGACTAATTTTCGACATAGTAAAGTCCAGTGAAGTTAACGGTTTCTTTTAATCATGCATCTGACTCTTATTTTCTGAAGGTATATAAACTACATCGGTTTAGATGAACATCTAAAATATTTGCACTGTAACTCTTGTAAAAGAATTCTAAGGAACCAACACTTTCTAAGTCCAGAACAACTTTTTAAATTCAAATAATGTGACTAAGAGCAGTCATTGAAATTCAAGTTAACATTAGAAGCATAATACAGTATCACTTTAAACAAACTCAGACATGAAGGCAGAAGAGCTTCTACGAAGCCAGTAGCAGCCGTAGTAGCTTGATAGCATCCCTTTTAATTAACAGACTCTTTTATCTTAATGATAGTTGGGCTTTACTTGTGAATTGCTCATGCCTATATTTAGTTTTTGATGTCCCATGAGTGATACAGTAACTTGCTTCTTAGGAAAGACGAAAATATTAAAGACCAGTGCCTGCAAAGGCAGTGCTGCATACTTGTAGTAAAACAAGTGAAGTTTATTACACTGTCACAGAAAGATCTCTGCCTGTTACAAAGATTCACCCTAACCTAATATGTACTTCCTGAACACTTCGGCATTTACTTTTTAAAGAAAAGTAATTTTTCCGTTGTTATAGCATAAGGAAACAATTGCAATTTGATGCCTGTCCTCTAGTGGTGGTTCAAATAAATGTTCCGTACTGAATAAAAGACCTGCAGCCATTCATGTCTTTATGTAGCCTGCAAGTTAGGAAATATTGTCTCGTTATTTTCGTTTAGATCAGGCAGATTTTTCCTAATACGAGGCCAGGAGAAAGGTCATGGTGCAAGAAAGATGCGTACATTTAAAAGCATATCTACTAGGGTAGTAGATAGCAATATTTCTGACTAGATGCAGGCCGTACTATCGATCTGTTGTGTGTCTACTGTTCTCACAGGATGTGAAGAGACAAGGAAAGTGAAATTTGGCCTGAAGGGTTTTTTATTAGAAAAGTCTTAATCCTTCTTAATGTATATATCAGCCTTTACTAATGTCTCGTTGTATGATTAAGGTTTTTTTCAACATTAATAGACAATGCAAGCAGTTAATAAGAAAATGGATCCACAAAAGACGCTACAAACTATGCAGAATTTCCAGAAGGAAAACATGAAGATGGAAATGACTGAAGAAATGAGTAAGTTCTGCACTGAAGGCAACAGGTGGCTTCAGCCCACAGTGCTCTTGGAAGGGTAAAACCAGTCTGGAAATACCGATGCTTGAGGTTTTATTTCTACGATTAATGAAATTGACAGCAAAATTGAAGATCAAATGACACAATGCGTGTCTGAGCAGGGAGGCTGAGCCTTAGGCTTTTTAGTAGCTCTAGATACTAAATCTAGAATCTGTTCCTACCCGTCATACTTCTAGAACGAACAAACTGGAAGGGAGGAGGGTTTGAGACCAGTTCAAAACCTTGTTGACATAACTGGTAGGGGGACTTGAAAAAATTACCCTTTCTATAGCTGATAGTTCTGCATGTGCTTTTTGTTCTGGGACTGGACACTTAATTTATTGATAATCTCAGCTTTACGTACTTGGTGGTGTGGGATGGTTTTGTCTCCTTTTTTTTAAGCCACAAACTACTTCTTGGGGGGTGGCAAGTTTCTTGTTCCCAATTGCATCTGTCCACTGGCGACTAAGGAATATCAAACTTCCTGGTGTTGCTAGCACAGTCTCCTTCCTAGCCTAATCCCTGCCACTGTGTTGGCTGTAGGAGGTAGCATGGACTCAAAACAATATTGTTGAGCAAGACGCGAGTACCTCAGCTGTGCAGAATTGTATTGTTGCACTTCAGAAATTCAGCTGAGTAGTTAACAGTTTCGCAACATACGTGGAGGAGGAAAAGGAAAGGGGGTTTTATGGAACTGTAGCAGATGTTTTTAAGAAATGTTAAATTCTAGTGGGGGGGGAATAGAGCAACTGAACTATTTTGGTGAAACTAAACATTTTTATAAAAAAGCAGCCATGCTTGACCCTGTTGTTGCTCTAGCTGTGCTCACAGGCTTTGCAAGGCAGAGGTAAGAAAGCTTCTCCAATATACAGGTGCTTTCTGTTGGTATTTTGTACAGTGGTATTACTACCACATTCTGGGAGGGCAGAAAGATGGTACGAAGTTATTTTAGTAACATTTTTGCATCATGCAGTGTGGATTTTTTTTCTTTTTTCTAAGTTAATGATACTCTGGATGATATTTTTGATGCTTCTGATGAAGAGGAAGAAAGCCAAGATATTGTTAACCAAGTGCTTGATGAGATAGGAATTGAAATCTCTGGAAAGGTATGGCTATTTTTACCTGGTTCATGTACTTCTTCCCCTTCATTCCTTTTTTTTAAATAGTTTATTCTAACAGCCTTTGTTTTACTGTCTTATTCTAGAAGTCAGCTTGTCATAACATGTATTATTTTTACTGAAAAAACCTTCTGTCTTCTCCTAGATGGCCAAAGCCCCGTCAGCTGCCAGAGGCTTACCATCTGCATCAACATCAAAAGCTGCTACCATATCAGATGAAGAGATTGAACGACAGCTCAAAGCTTTGGGAGTTGATTAGCTTGATGGCAATATACAATCTGCCTTCTAATTGTTCAGCTACAGACAGATGTAAAAAGTGCGAATACTCTTTCAGTGCAACTGATGTCTAGGGAAGCTCTGAAGCTTCAGAAATGATGACTTGAAGTTGATACTGGGGGAAGGAGAAGGGGAGAATATTTTGAATCAATTTACGGGGAGAAGTACGCTTAGTGTGTCCATTGCCTGGGGTCTTCTTGAGCACTGGATGAACCAGAGATGCAGTTCCAATGATAAAGTCGTTTATACCTGATCTGAACCTGCCCTCTGAATTCAAAATTTTCTTCTGTCTCAGTTCCTGATCTATCTTTAGAATTGGCTGTTCTGTGGCTGATGGTGATGCCTCCTGGGATAGTACCTATTTAATATATATCATTTTTATAAAACTGTTGCTATAGAAAAATTCTTAGTCTGTCATCTTAGCACAAATGAAACCACCTTTGCTTTTGGTTGGAAACTATTTTCTTTTGATGAGAAATAGCCTTGAAAGTGTAGCAAATTTAGGCAGAAAGAAAAGGCATTTTATGTATTGCTTTCAAGTTCCTGTAGTAACTTTGAGTTGATTAAATGATAGCTGGTTATTCTTTTTACTGAAAGGGAAGGATACAGTCCTTGTGCAGTTAATTTTACTGGAAGAGGATTTAAATTTGTTAGTGAACTTTGTTGCATGAAAGGCACTGATTGAACTCCATTGTACTGTAACATAGCTGGTTTCAACAGAATTGCTGTGCCTTTATGTATATAAATCTTGTACCTTTGTGATTTTTTTTCAGAATGGGTCCTTTAAAGGTGAGTAAACTTGCAATTAAGATGGTTTCACAAAACACTATGGTGAGACCTCGGTGGACACTTGATGGGACTCAGTGCTGAAGTTCAGAAATGCAGTTGTTCAGAAATGCAACTTGCACCCTTGCAAAAAGGACATTTATTTGCCTGAAACAACATTTGTATATATTTTACAGTATTTCTTAATGGAAGATAACTGTGCATAATTGTATTGTTTACTAAGATGCAATTGATCACATTGATAAGCTAAATCTAAATTTTAGTTTTGAGAACAGTTTTGGATGATACCTGATAATTACTTGTCTAAACACTATAATAAAAGAGTGCTGGTTCTGTGAAGGTTTTTCTGTTGTCTCTGAATGCATCAATGTGATCCTAGCTTTAAGTGGAATGCATTGGGCTAATGAAATAAGAACTGTTGATATTTTAAATAGATGACAAAGTCTGAGGATGCGGTTCCCAGTTATGACTCCCCAGATGGTGTCAAGTTCCTCAGTCCTTACTCTACTGGAGATTATTTGCCCCACAGTTGTGCTAATGCAGCGGGGCTGTTCTTTGAACAGAAACAGCAAAATCATCTTGGCTTTAAAAAGAGAAAAGCAAAATACCTCCCAAGAGTGAAACCAGGTGAACTGGGGAGGGGGGAAAATCTTCACAAAAATACTTTGCTGCTACAGAAAATGTAGCAGGAAACCATAACCTCTGTGAATCTACTGTTGTCGCACCGTTTTTAGGACTGAATTCAGCAGAGAAAGAAAAAACATAGATGAGTCTTCATCTGTTTTTTGGCATAGAAGTGCCAGTGTTCTTTCTCTTTAAATGAAGTAATGGACAAACTATGAATCTGTGAGGTAGTAGGTAGGAATGTGTAAGTTTGTATATTGCATATATCCGATATGAGGTGAATTTTCTTTTTTTTTTCACAAGTTCTTTTGTAAAAATCTAATAAAAGGCTTTTTATTCTGCAATGACTTTGTCCTCTGTAGGGTTAGTCTTGCATACCTGTCTCTTAGTGGGCTTTCTTTGGACTGCTGTCAGCTCTGGGAAATTTTCCTTTGACCTGAACTATAGCTCAGCATATTTGTTGTAGTTGCTTGTGGGCCTTGAATTTAAATTCGACGTTCTGTAGAGACCTGATCAAATTTGCATTCTCTTCTGTCTGTAACTGAGTGCCCAAGTACTGCTCTTAAGCATTGAGGGAGAAACCTTAATGTGAAATTAGTTAGGTATGTTACTGTTGGATGGTATTTTGGTTGAACACCAAGGCTTATGTCCTTTCTGAATGAAGTGTGCACATTATCCTTTTAACGACTGTCAAAATTGGGCATAATTCTATTATGAGTTTTCATCTATCTACAGGGTCTTTGACAAACAGTAATAAAAGCATTGCTTTTTGGTGTCAGTAAGACTGCTGAACTAGGGCTAATGGCAGTATCTATCCAGCATTTTGTTACCAGCTATCCTTTAAGTCCCACAGCAATAATCTGTATAAAAACCTTTCAGTAGCAGAGTGCGAAGTGTTGTAGGTTTGCAAGCTTGCTTGTATTTATTTCAATTATAGTTATTATGTTGTATCTGTCTATAACAAAACTGCATCCCCTACTTAGGAACAAATTCCTTTAAAATCACTTTTATTAGACTGAAAAAAACAACCCATTCAATCATTTAACTCCTTTATCCTTGCTGACACCTTAATAGCAACTGAACCTGAAAGTCCTCCATCCAAGAACAACAATGCGATTGTGAATGCGCTGAAGAGTGGCTCTACTGGGGCAGACCGAGGCCCATCTCGCCCAGAATCCTGCTCCGCGAGTGCCCATGAGCAATGCCCAGGAAAACAAGATAAACATAGATGACGCTTCCTCCTGTAACACTTTTTCAGTCTCTAACTGTTTTCAGTTTGGAGCACTTCCAGAGCCATATGTAAGTTCCTCTACAGACGACAGCTTTAAGTGGCTTTCTCATCTGTGAGCTTGTCCATATAAATGAACTTCTGGCACCAATGGTTTTTATTAGGGGAGTTCCACAGATTTTTGCCCACCACATCAAGAACCACCACTTCTGGCTTTTCTTAAGCTGCTTTCTAGCTTTCTTTTTTTCTTTTTTTTTCTAGCTTTTTCTTATGTTAGAGGCAAGATGTTGAACAGCCTGCCTCCAGCCAGCTTTTCAGTACAGCTCATGGTTCAGTAGACCTCTATAGCATTCAATGCACACACATTAAATCTAGAAGAGAGACAGTAGCTTAAACAGTTACTCATCTTACCTTTGATCATCAGCTTTGCCCACATAGGGCCCTTTTCCTGTTCTGTTGTATCCTTCAGACGAGGGGGACAGAATGCTACGTAGTACTTCAGAGACAGGTGAACCTCAGATTTACACGTTGTCATAATGTCTTGGTTTGTCCTCTATCCTAGCTGTAACAGCCTACCTAAAGTTACCATGGGAAAAGGAAGAGCAAGAAAAAAACCCACGAATATCTCAAAAATAGTATAGCCCGTTGTTAGTCAAATGGCCAACTAAACTCTTTCTTGCAGATTTATGAAGCTGCCCCTCATAAGCCTTGTCTGGGTTTTTTTCCCCAATCAAGAGTGACTGCTGTCAATTACTCAGTGAGTAAGTTGTTCCTATAGGAAAAAAAAAAAGAATTACTACTTTCTCCAAGTCTAATGGCTGCAGCTGCAGCACATTAAATTGATTTCATCCAGCTTTTTTTCTTTAAACAATTCTGCTCTAATTTGTCAGTAATTTCTGTGGTAACAGCTAGATGTGCTTAAATTATGGCTGCTTTCTTTGCTTAGCCTTTTGTCATTCTTTTGAAAGAAAATGGCATTATGTGTCACCTTTCATTTTAGTTTGCTATGCTTCTGCAATTAGCCTTCACTTACAAGACTTTTTCTACGACTAGACATCACAATGTTACAGTAAGTCTGCTCTTGAATTAACTATTACAGCATACTAAAATGAGTAAGAACAGCAATGTGATACACAACTGAGAAAGTAAAGTATTAGCAAAACAGAACTACAAACTGTTACCTGAAATACCAAATGTATAAGAATACTTTATTGGGAGGGGGGAAGCAGAGGCTTACAGCATTTCTAAGAAGCATTTTTATAATTAAAGAAAATAACTTAAAACATAAATAAAATTTATATATATGTCAGATAGTTTCAACATACATAGCATTAGATCACATAACGTCAAAGATACCCAGATGCATGCCACCAGCTTTACTGAGTGCTAATCTTCTCAACTGTATTTTTCTTTCACCCTTTTGGAAAGTTTGTGATCTGTCGATAGACATGGTGGACAAAGGCTAAGGCTTGGTCTTTCTCTGCCGTAGTGGGTGAGCTATGCTAGTGATGAGAACAGCCCAGAGAGAATATATAGCACAATTTCTCTCCTGTGAGTTAGTACACTGAAGTTTTCTTCTAAATTAAGGGGTTATAGCGATGCATGCATCCATAAAAAAAGTATTTTTTTTTAATCTGGCAGCCTAATTTCCATAGCTGAATATGCCTAAGGTCACTGTAATAGGTATCGGAGATAATTTAATGTACACTAGAGAGAGAACACTTAACTTGTACACACTGCTTCTAAGTGGTCCTGAACATTAAAATCCTTTTGCTTTCTGTGGGCCTATTATCTAGACACTTTCTAAATCATCAGGTCTGTTTTATGGGAAAATAAAATGTGTCTGGCCATTACTACTTGCATGTACTCACTTAATTTCAGTCCTGGGAAAACAGTGAAAACCACATACATGGTAATGGGCTATTCTAATAACCATGAGCAGGGTTGATGAGGTGGCTGGATAATCTGTCCCTGGTGAGTACTCCAGTCATTAATTCAGTTTCTTGGTGCCTGGCTTTCTGATAGGTAGAGCTCTGGCACTTGGGTTGGGTTTTTTTTCCCCTGATTGTCTCTCTAGGCTACAGGATGACAAAAGAAGGGATTCTTTTCAATTAGAGGGGTGTAAGAGTGGGAATGTGCAGTGCCATAAATGCTTTGTGTGGATACTTAGAGCACAGGGGCCTTCTTTTTTTAGTTTAACACACTATCTCTGGTGTAAGTATGTCCACACGTGGATTTAATCCGAAAAAAACACAATGCAGAGAGAAAGCCCAAAGTAGCAAATCCCCTGATGATTCTCTGTTTTTTTCCCCTCAGGTCACAAAGTCTTCAGGTAAATTGTATCCCAGTTTTTATAGCTAAGCCCATCCAAATCAAGCTTTAAGGCATATAATATATTAGCAAGAATTGCCTTTGATAATAAGCATAAGAAAAAGTCACTTCTGCTTGGCACTCATTTAGGCAGTCAAATGGTACGCTGAGACAAAGCACACAGTAGGAACAGTGTTGGCACCTCCGTACTGGTAAGCTTGGTCTACCATAAATAATGACAGCAATTATGGCCCATTTCTAATGGCTTTGTCCTGAACTTACACAAGGAAATTACCCGAAATGATTCACTCGGAGGCGCACAGCTGTTGTGAGTGGGTAGCTGAGTCTGAG